GAGCAACAGGTCTTAATCCAGGTTGCTTGCGTAATTGTTTTGCCAATGCTGACACGCCCCATATTGTTGCAGCTGTGTGCATTCTGACAGCACATCCTTGTTGTGGTTACCTGTTTGTTGCCTGTGGCAAGATGTACCAACAACATAATTGAATGATTTTTGGCCATTTCGGCAAGTGCTTTGCGCTTTGCTTCCTGTAATTTTAGGTGATTTTGCACGCATCATCTTTTCTTTTCATTATTTGCAGCAGCAGCAGCAGGAGCAGCAGGAGCAGGAGCATCTGCATGATTGATTTTTGATATCTTGCCATTCCTGACCACGTTTATGAGTAGCATGAGACGTGTGTGTGGTATGTGTGCGTGTGTGTGTGTGTCTATGCCTCTGTGCAGCTCTTCGCTTGAGCGCCTTGGCGCTGGAGTTCAACAGCCCAGCCGAAACATGAGCATTGCATAGAAATCTGCCCAGACGTTTGGCTAGTCAAGAGCAGCAGCCGGCAGCAGCAGCATGCATGGCTTATGGCTTCCGTATGCCCAGCTCGCTCCACTGACTGCGACCACGAGACCCCAACGCCCAAGTCAACAAACAGCCAGCCAGACAGCGAGACAGACACAGTCATAGATATAGATACAGAGCCACAGGCACAGATACAGATACGCAAACTCTAATTCCATTCGGCTTGCCCATGTTTATTTGTGCTAGCTCATTTTGCTCTGCAAGAATGTCGACGACTTATAATACGAGCAGCGTGTACAATTTTCTACACCTCTTTTTTTCAGTTGTTCAGTCTTCCTCTTCTGTAAAGATCATAATTATGGTATCGGAGTAACGCCAAGCTTTTGCTATTATATTCCATCACAAAACACGCGATATGTTCTCACTGCGCTGGCACTTTTTATACTTATTCTCATTTTTTTGTTGTGCTTTTTTTGTTGTTGTTTTTTTTTTTTTTTTTCTCAATTAACATTCCTGGCATGTTTTGCAGTCTTGACCAGTCTTAAAGGCATTTCAGCCGCCTGCAATTGCAATTGTTGTTATCACAGGCCATGCGCCGAACCTGAAAAACTAGTTTCCTGCACAGATAGATATATTTATATAGTACATACATATATATATATATATTATTTTTGTTTAGTTAGTTGTGTCTGCAAATGTTGTGGCTCGGGAAATGYCAAGTAAAAGCTGCCTCGCTTCTTCGTTTTCACCCTGTTTGGCCAACTTTTGACTGACTTTGACTTTGTTCCAAAGTCAAGGCTTTATATTTAGTTTATGCTGCTTTCAATTGATATTGCGTTCCCTCATTAAAATTTATGCGCGCAGGAAACGGAAGCACAGCAGACGTCGTCATCATCGTCGCCGTCGTCGTCGTCGTCGTCGTCGTCGTCGTCGCTGTCGTCTTCTTTGGCAGACAAGGCGCAGACAATGTCACAAACAGTTGCCAGTTGCCTTCGGTCTAGCTCCATTCCTGGCCATCTCGCTTGGCTATGCAGGCGGCATTCCCAAAGACCAGCGAAGAGCCTCCGTGATTGTCACTCAAAATTGTGAATGCCTCTAGCTGCAACCGCAACGAAATAAAAATTGAAAGTGTTGACACGCCCACACAGCAAACACTGTAATATATGATAGTTGTCATCGCTCACTATCTCTATCTACATTTGCTCCTCTCTCCCTCTCTCTCTCTCTCTCTCTCTCTCTCTCTCCCTCTATCTTCCTCTCTGTGCACCTGTATTTATCAACGCACGCCTGTCTATCAGCATAATTGAGCTGAAGGGTTTATTTATGACAGCTGCGTGGAGGGTTGAAGGAATCTATAATCTCCATTGAGCAGGCAGCTAAAATGAGCTAAATGGACAATATATGCGGAAAATGAAGAGATATCTCTATAATGAAATCTGAGTAAAGAAAAAATAAATAATAATTTAACTAAATGCATTTTAACTGTATTTTCTGTGTACTTGTATGTAAAAATAATTGATATATATTAAT